CCCTCAGCCCCATCCAAAAAGTAGCATCGTCACCTCTCCCCCAGCATGAAGTTGCCAACCATTTGCCTTGGGGTGGTTGCCTGGTCTGCCATAGCAAGCCTGAGCCTTTGCAACCAGCAGGTGAAAAGCCTGTAGAGACTGAAGGCAGATCATTTCTGGTTTCTCCAAGTTTTGTTTGTTTGTATGTTTTTTACAGCACAGGAGCAAAGGGCTTCAGCGCCCAAATTCTGCAGTGCATCCATCTTTCTTGCACCTCCTCTTATGCTTCAGAGAGGCTGTCCATTAAAAACAAAAGCAAATAAATTATTGTTTAGCAAAGCACTAAGGTGAATGTTCCATCGGTGCAAGGATTTCTCTTCCCCACTCCATGCAAACCCTAAATCTGTTCCAGAGATTTCCCCAACACTCCAGAAAATATCTGGGGATAGCCCAGGCTTGTGGGGAGAAGGAGAGGAAGTCCCATTGCACTAGTAACAACCTTTGGACAAGTGCAGTTGTTTAGTTTAATGCTCCCCTTTGCTTGTATAAATGTTGGCCACCAAGTTTTATTAAAACATTTTGCAAAAACAATGGTGAAATGGCTATAGCGACCGGGGGAGAAATGTCTTGGTTGACGCTGTGTTCACAATCCGATGCATAACTTTGCAGTTACTAATTTACTCCATTTAATAATGTTGAAAAACTTGCTGAACTAGTGTTGCAGAAGTCTCCTTGGGACAGAAAAGGGGGGTGATAGCTGAGAGCCTTTTCAGACCAGCCTTACAGCTCCTAAAATATGTATGTATATATGTATATTTTCACTCTGACTTAGCCAAGTGAGAGTGGTTTGTTCCGTACATCATCCTTTATTGTGAAGAGTCTTAAGAAGTGGCTGGTTGTAAGCATATGCAGCTGTCAGTGTGATTTACATGTTGTGTATTTGATCAAAGGACCTCTTCCTTGGACAGAGAAACTGTCCACTCCAATCTGTGCATAGAATGAACACTCCAGTGACATTGGGAGGGAGGGAGGGAAGATGAAGAAGAACACGAACCCTGAAGATGAGAAGCCGTCTATTCCGGGCACACACAAACCCTCATTTAAAGGCGGGACTCAGAAAAGCTAGTTGGCCCCCATAAAACCTCCACTAGGGTTGTTTTCCATATCAATATGAAGAGGTAACAAAAGCAGGGGAAAGTGAGTAGTGCAGGCAGGATTTAAAATAAATAAATAAAATTTTCTGCCTCTTCAGATTTGGATTTAAAAAACAAAAGCTTATTGTTGCGGGGTGGGGGAATGGTGAATTAATTTTCTGCAGCTGCTCCTTTAGACCATAAGGGGAATATGTTGATGCAGCCTTTTATATGGGGCAATCTTCAGGGTTGACAGGAGGGGTTTCCCATTTAAATGGCCTTTGAGGCAGCCAGAATGTTTCACATGATATTTTAAAAAACTGTAATAGAAAGCAAAATGGTTTTTCTGCTTCCCAAAAAAAAAACTAGCAGAATAAGCATTCCTAGAGAAGATCTGTGCAAAGACGCCACACTCCCAGATCTAAAGGGGAGAGAGAGAATTTTTCCCTTGGTGGGGAGCAGGCAGTGATTTCCATCCCACCCTGTTTTTGTCACAATTACCAACGTTCCCATTCCTCTGCAGTTCAGTTTCTGCCATACATAATTGGCTTTACTGCCCACTATTTAACATAAGTTACATAATTTGGAAAGTTTATGTAATTTTTCATATAACGTACATACCTGGCATTCATTTCAGTGTACAGTAAATATCAATTTAGAACAATAACAAAATTAGGTATTGTTCGCAGGCATAAAAAAAGCACAGGCATGATGTGAACAATTGCATTCACTTGGCTGATTTCCCTTTCTGACAATTGCAGATGTACACACAAACACAGTCATTTCTGCATCCTTTTCTGTTTTCATCAGAATCATTCTGTAATCCCTACTGGGAAGGCTGTTAAAAAGTGTATGATGGCAAAGGGCCAATGCCTGCTGGGAGGCAGGAAGTAACACCAATCCCTTTTCTCGTTTCCTCTTGAGCCTTGCCAGGATTACCTCTCTTCTTCAGTAGCTTCTCCACTAAGCTGACATTGCCCTCTGCTAGGTTCACTTCCCTCTAAGGATGCAAGCAGTCAGCCCACCCTCCTCCACCACATTGCCTCCACCTGCCAGCTTTGCCCCCATCTCACATTTCAGGGAATGACATGTCATTGTTGCTCTCCCAGCTCCATCCACTGGGGACTTCCCTTGCCTTCCAAACTGGCCGGCCAGGGCAGTCCGGCTGCACCTCATTGTGTCTACTAGAGCAGGAAATCTGAAGCAGTTGGAGCCACCACATATTGCTCACCTCCACAGCCTCAGGCTGAGCCCATTGCAAAGCTGGCTGAAAGTCACCTAAAGACATCGAACTAGCTGAACACCCCACCTTCCCCCAGGAAATGTGTTCCCTATCCCAAATTGCTTTGGTTGTGCTCAGCAGTGTTTACGTCGCTGAAGAGGAAATAGCCTGAACTGAGAAACAACTTACTCTTAATTTTGCTCTTTCCTAAGGGAGAAACCACTGCCCATTCTCTGGGTTCGACAGCTGTAGCATTAAAGAGAAAGGGCAGCATTCCTGGAAATGTCAGGTATTTTTCCTCCTGGGAGTCGTAGGCTGGGAGATCTGCCAAGGTGATAGACAGGGATCAGCGGAATTGGAAGTCCGTTTAAAGCTGCTTTATTACAGAGTCAGGCCATTGGTCTGTCTAGTCTAGGTTTGCATTCAGAGAGGACTAATCTCCTTGGACAGCTCAGAGTGCCAGCTGCATGGGAGCTCAACAGCCAAGGCATGCCAATGAATACCATTCACCTGAGCTTGAATATCTAGGTTCAGTTTGCTTTAACTCTACTTCTGCAGTTAGTTCCTAGCAGAGAATGAGAGTCATTGTTAACATTTCCATAGGATCTATCATGGTGGGCAAGGGAGGCATACTGTGTTCCATATTGCAATCAGTTAGCACAAGTATTCTGGGAGAAGGCTCTCTTCAGTGTTCTAAAATGAATCCATTTCAGTACAAAAGTTCCCTTTTTTCTCACATTTTCTCTCTCCTCTTCTTCTCCCTTTGCTAGTCTCGTTATACAGAAAAAGTTTAAAGCAGATAAAATAAAATCATTTTAAAAAACCAGAAAATTTGAAATAATGCACAAGGCAAAATCCCTAAAACACTCATTCAACAACACAACATGAAGGGCAACTCCTACCCCACTTTTCTGGTAAAAAGTGTGATTTGGAAAGGACCACATTCAAATGTCACCTCACCTGTAAGCTTACTAGGTGGCTCTTAGCCATCACTGAATGTGTCCCACCCTCCAGCCACAATTCCTGATTGCATAACGCTGGCCTACCTTCCAGTGCTGTTGTAAGGTTTATTGGGGAAAGGTATGGCAGTCTTCCTCATCCTGGTCCCTTCCAAATGTTGCTGGATTTCCGCTCCCATAATCCCTGATCGTAGGCCAAGTTGGATGGGGCTAGAGCTGATGGGAGTTGTGATATTTTACACTTGGAGGGCACCAGGTTGGGGAAGCCTGGTGCATACGATGCGCTTTGAACACTGTAAAATTTCCTACCTGGATCCCATTTTTTTATCATGCTGAAATCTGCTCGGAGCAGATAATTAGTAGTTTCCGGCTGTAGCTCTGCTGGCATCCTTTTCGTGCTGCGAGACACAGAGGTCAAAGGTTAGAGAGGCAAGCGCTGAGCATGTACCCTGTTGCGTACTGAGCCTCAGTGAAAGCGAAGCCTCCGTTTCTAACTTGGGAGCTGAAATCCGTTCCACGTCTTATCCTATTCCTATTTCCATTAGTTTTAATGGACTCACATAAATAATCGATGAGGAAGGAGCGGAGCTAAGGAGGGCTAGGCCTGCAAATATGTCCTTTAGTCTTAAAACAAACAGCCAAACCGAAGACGTCTCCTTGCTGCCCTTCAGCTCTATTAACCACCCACTCTTTGAAGAGGAAATTTATTGCCAGTGATCCCTGGGTAGAATTTGCTTTAATTTTAATGCACACATGCCTGTGTGCACGTGTATACACACACACACACACACACACACACACAGTGTGGCATCTGTTCTAATCCAAATAGGCATCACAGCAGCCTTCTTCTTCACGCTTGGGTCCTTATATGTCCTCAGTGGCATCTCTTCCAGTTGTGGAACAGGCTCTCTGGAGAGACCCACCTGGTGGCCAGCCTTAATATCATTTGGGCACCTGGCCTGTACCTATTTATTTTCCTAGGCCTTTATAAATCACGTGCTAGTTCTGTTCTTGTTTAGCTCAGTGGATTTTACTGGCTGCCTCTGTATTAAATTGGTTTTAGCACTGCATGGTTTTGTTCTCTGCTTTTAAATCATACTTTTCGGCGTCTTGTCATGTTCTATCCCTTGCCTCTTTCCCCCCTTTTAGTATAATTGTGATTTAAACTTTTGCTCTGCGTCTTATTGCCTCTTCCTATCTTACAGAGGTTCTTGGGCCCTGTGCAGGGAGTGGTCTGGGAAGGAAGTGGTTGCTAGATTCCTCCTGGGAGGGGAAACATCATATTCTGAGCAGGGTCAGCCTCTCACATTTGATCCTTTTGGAGGGAAGGTCATTAAACCTGTAGTCCTGGATAATGTAAAAAAATTTTTTTGCCATTCCTTCCAGTGTAGCTTCTGACCTGGGAATGGAATTGCTTTAGTTCCATTGGTGTTTGATCTATGTCAGCTGGAGGAACATGATGACCCTAGATATCTCAGCAGCATTTTTTAAAAAAAGAAAAAAGGATGGACCTTATAGTTTGGGTGGATTGCCTAAGACAACAGAGTGGGGAGTCTGTGGCCCTCCAAATGTTGTTGGGCTCCAGCTTCCATCATCCCTGATCGCTGGCTGTGTCACCTAGAACTGATGGGAGTTGAGAGTCCAATAGGTTTGAAGAGCCACAGTTCCTCTCTTCCTGGCCCAAGATCTAGGAAAACCAGACAGAAGGCGTAATAGCTCAGTCAGTAGAGCATGAGACTCTTAAATCTCAGGTTTGTGGGTTCAAGCCTCAGGTTGGGCAAAAGTTTCCTGCATTGCAGGCGGGTTGCACTACATGACCCTCGTGGTCCCTTCCAATCATGATTCCATGATTCTAAGTCATCCATCAAAAACTAATTAGGGAGGAACCATATCTCAGTAGCTGAGCCCACTGGAAGGACTGTACATCAGTGGTAGGGTATCAGGTTTGCATGCTGAAAGTTCCAGGTCCATTCCTCAACAGCTTCTGGTATGGCTAGCAAATGTTCCTTCCTGAAATCCTGGAGAGCTCCTTCCAGCAGAAAATATTGAGCTAGATGGCCCAATGGTCTGACTCAGGGGTCAGCAGCCTTTTTCAGCCGTGGGCTGGTCCACCGTCCCTCAGACCATGTGGTGGGCCAGACTATATTTTGGAAAAAAAAATGAACAAATTCCTATGCCCCACAAATAACCCAGAGATGCATTTTAAATAAAAGGACACATTCTACTCATGTAAAAATACACTGATTCCCAGATTGTCCATGGGCCGGATTGAGAAGGCGATTGGGCCGGATCCGGCCCATGGGCCTTAGGTTGCCTACCCCTGGTCTGACTCAATATAAGGCAGCTTCCTATGTTCCTTTGTGCAATCAGAATGCCTTGGCTTCAATTCTTTGGATCTCTGGCTAGCAAGCGATGTGAAAAAACCTCTGCCATAGACTCTGGTGAGCCACCACCAGCACCGATCAGAGTAGACCACACTGGGTGAACAAATAGTCTGGCCTTCATGGAGGCAGCTTTTTGGGATCAGAGGGTATCAGCTGCTGCAGCAGTTTTATCTTTCCAACCTTTGCCTCTACCTTGCACAGATGAGACTATAATCCTTCCCAAACCAGTCATATTCAAGGAAAGGGCAGAGTGAAAACAGAATATCCCACCTGCTTCACAGCTACCTGATCAATACCGTATATCCTTTTGCTCATTCTTCTCGGTACTCAAGAGGCACTGCAGAGAGAGATTTCTCATAGACCAGGCCAGAAGTCCTTTGAGAGCTCTGCGCTCCTCTTTCTGCAGCTCCGGAGCTGTCCAGCAAATTCTGCGCTTGTGATTTACTAGGGGCATTACCTCAGCACTTGAATGTTATCTGACTTCCTGCGAGCAGGGCGATGCTTCCAGCCCTCGGGTTCATCTTGGGTCAAAGCAATCTAAAGCATGCGAAACGTACAACCTGGATGGTACTTAATCACTATGGGCTGACTGCAGAGAGAGAGAGCTTTACTGAATGCTACTGTGTGCGAGAGAGAGAGAGAGAAAGAGAGAGAGAACGAGGGGCTAGAAATCAGTGTTAGAAACTCAGATATATAAGCTAGGTGCCAAATGGCTCCTTAAACAGCTACTGTCACCAAAGCGGAGTCATTTTTGGGTAAGATGGCTCTAATGTCTTGTTTTTCAAATGATGGACTGACTGTGATTGATTCTCAGTTAAAACACCTGGCTAGTTCAGATGAGAACCTTGATCCAGGTTGAGAGCTTGAGAATTTAAAGGGGGGAAAGTCATTTGATCCAGGGACAAGCCCACATATACATTGACCTATTCCAACCTCTTTTTCTTCATGGTGACACAGACCATTCATAACCGAAGAATATTCTTTACAACTGTGAACAGGGCAACGTTATAGAGAATAGTCAATGAGACAGTCATAGAATCATAGAACTGTAGATTGGGAAGGGACCACAAGGATAATCTAGTACCACCCCATGCAATGCAGGAATCCTTTTGCCCAGTGTGGGGCTCAAACTCCCTACCCCGAAATTAAGAGTCTCATGCTCTTATCAACTGAGCTATCAAGATGATATCGTAGATGTTATTGCTATCATTGTTTATGGTTAATACTGATGCTTTCTACATCTCTTTGAATTTTTTTCATAAAACTGTAGAAGTCTTTTAAATGAATGAAATTTTATACCATTTCCTCTTCCAAGAAAGGTTTGTGGTAGCTGAATCATGGAAAGGATCTGCTCCTCTTCCTTGTTTTCAGCTGGGCGGAGATCTCTTCGTTGTTGTTTTTATTGCTCAGATTGGTCCAGGAATTGTTTGTCCTCCCCATTCAAATGAGATCCTGTTTAAAACAGGAAAGGAGAAATGGGTTGAACCGTGTTGTGTGGTAGCGATTTCCCCAGATATCAGGCCATTGTTTAGCAGCAGTGCATCTTTGACCTAAGGTCAGAAAAGTGGAAATCTGCCTAAAGACCTGCTCTGACCATAATGCAGTAAAGATGGATATGACACTACTACCAACTGGATCCTTTAGATGGAAGATGAACGACAATTTGTTTAGAGATCAGGAAATTACCAAGAAGGCCCAAAAAGTTTTGAAGGACTATTTTGAGATAAACATGAACAATTCGGTGGAAAAAAGAATTGTCTGGGACGCAAGCAAAGCTGTAATGAGGGGATTCTTGATACAACAGAATGTAGTAAAGAAAAGAATACAAAATGAGAAAAAAGATAAGATCTTGGACAAATTAAAAGAATTAGAGAAGAAATTAAGAGCGAATCCAAAGTCACAGCCAACTCTGAGAGAAATTAAACTCTATCAAACACAATATTCTAAATTGATAAATCAGGAAATTGAATGGAAGGTTAAATTAATGAAACAAAAACGTTTGAGTCGGCGAATAAATGTGGAAAACTGCTAGCTTGGCAGTTGAAGAGAAGACAAAGATTAAACACGGTTACAAACTTAGAGGTTGATGGAAAAAACATTCAGAATCCAGTGGATATTAGAAAGTGTTTCCAGAGATATTTTAAAAATTATACACCCAAGGGCCGCAAGACGAAGTTGAGATTAAACAATTGTCACAAGAAAACAGGACAATCCTGAACTCTAAAATAACACGACAGGAGATTGAACAAGCTATTCAGAACATGCAACTTGGCAAATCTCCAGGGCCAGATGGGCTGACCTCCAAGTATTATAAGACATTAAAAGACTATTTGATACAACCCTTGATGGAGGTCAGCAATGAAATTATGGAGGGAAGAGGGCACCGGATTCGTGGAAGGAAGCGTTCATCACATTAATACCAAAGTCAGAAGCTGAAAAGACACAACTGAAGAACTACCGTCCCATCTCTCTTTTAAATGTGGATTACAAAATATTTGCAGATATTTTGGCAAGTAGATTTAAAAAGTATTAAATGAAGTAATTCATAAGGACCAGGCCGGTTTTCTCCCAGGTAGACATCTGTTTGCTAACACAAGGAACATTATTGACATTTTGGAACTTCTGCAAACAGATATAAATACAAAAGCAGTTTTAATTTTCATAGATGCGGAGAAGGCCTTTGACAATATTTCCTGGAAATTTATGATGGGAAATTTAAAAGAGATGGGAGTGGGACGGGGTTTTGAGAATGGGATTGAGGCGATATATTCAGAACAGAAAGCTAAACTGATAGTTAATAATGTGGTCACAGAAGAGTTCAAAATTGAAAAAGGGACACGACAAGGTTGCCCTATTTCCCCTTTGTTATTTATTTCGGTTCTGGAAGTGCTACTGAACATGATTAGAGGGGATCGGTTGGTGGAAGGAATTCAGGTTGGTCAGAAACAATATAAACTAAAAGCTTTTGCAGATGACCTGGTTTTGACCCTGCAGAAGCCAGAGCCCAGTACGAAAAGAGTATTACAATTGATTAATGATTTTGGTCGGGTGGCGGGATTTAAATTAAATAAACAGAAAACTAAGGTTTTGGGGAAAAATTTGACTGATACAGAGTCAGAACGGTTTCAGAATGAGACGGAACTTAATGTGGTTAAAAAGTAAAATACCTAGGGGTAAACATAACAGCAAAAAATCTAAGTCTATTTAAGGATAACTATGAAAAATGTTGGGCAGAAATTAAGAGAGACTTAGACAGTTGGTCAAAATTGAAACTTTCTTTGTTAGGCCGAATTGCTGCTATTAAGATGAATGTATTGCCAAGGATGTTGTTTTTATTTCAAACACTTCAGGTTTTGGACAAAACGGAGTGCTTTCAGAAGTGGCAGAGAGATATTTCGAAGTTTGTCTGGCAGGGCAAAAGCCCAGAATCAAGTTTAAGATATTAACTGATGCAAAACAAAGAGGGGCTTTGCCCTGCCGGACTTAAAGTTGTATTATGAAGCCGCAGCGTTCTGCTGGCTAAAAGACTGGCTACTTCTTGAAGACACTGATGTGTTGGATTTGGAAGGGTTTAATAATGTTTTTGGATGGCATGCATATTTATGGTATGACAAAGTTAAAGCAAATAAGGCCTTCAAGAACCATATTGTCAGAAAATCATTGTATAATGTCTGGACAAAATATAAAGACTTGCTGGAAAATAAAACACCAAGGTGGCTTTCACCTTTGGAAGCTAAGGCCCGAAAAGACCCAATATGGAGGCTAAATGGCCAAAATATTGGGAAATACTAGAAAAAGATGGAGACAATTGGAAATTGCAGAGTTTGGAGAAAATGAAAGACAAAGTGCGAGATTGGTTACATTACGCTCAGATTAAAGAAGTTTTTAAAAATGATAAGAAACTAGGGTTCCAGGTGGAGAAATCGAAATTAGAAACAGAATTGTTAGAACCAAAGACTAAGGTACTTTCAAGGATGTATAACTTGCTGTTGGAATGGAATACACAAGATGAAATGGTTAAATCGGCTATGATAAGGTGGGCACAGGACATTGGGTATAATATTATGTTTGAGGACTGGGAAAAGTTGTGGAGTAATGGATTGAAATTTACTGCATGTAACGCTCTGAAAGAAAATGTAATGAAAATGATTTATAGATGGTATATGACCCCAGTTAAACTTGCAAAAATTTACCACCTGTCTGATAATAAGTGTTGGAAATGTAAAGAGTGTGAGGGAACGTTCTTCCACCTCTGGTGGACCTGCCCTAAAGTGAAGGCGTTCTGGGAAATGATTTATAATGAATTGAAAAAGGTATTTAAATATACCTTTACCAAGAAACCAGAGGCTTTCCTTCTGGGTATTGTCAGCCAAGGGGTGGCAAAGAAGGACCAGACATTTTTATGTATGCAACAACAGCAGCAAGGATACTTCTTGCAAAACATTGGAAAACTCAAGATTTACCCACACTGGAAGAATGGCAGATGCAACTGATAGACTACATGGAACTGGCTGAAATGACCGGCAGAATCCGTGACCTGGGAGAAGAGAGAATCGAGGAGGATTGGAAGAAATTTAAGAACTATCTACAAAAATATTGTGATTTGAGTGAATGCTAAATAAGATGCTAGACTAAATAACTGAGCACCACTTAACTTAGAAGTTTTTAAGAAAACAAGTAAGACTGTGAAAGTTTAACTCTTTATGAGAACTATAAGATTATGAAACATTGAAGAGATATAAGAATTTAAATAAGATGATAAATTGCTGACAAAATGTTATAACGATGAAAGTGGGAGCGGGGGATGTGAGGAAGTCCAAAGAAAATGTGAAACTATGTTAAGACAAATGTTATATTGTTTATTATGTTTATTCCTATTGTAAAACCCAATAAATTGCTTTAAAAAAAAAAAAAAAAACGTTATAGAGAATAGTCAATGAGACAGTCATAGAATCATAGAACTGTAGATTGGGAAGGGACCACAAGGATAATCTAGTACCACCCCATGCAATGCAGGAATCCTTTTGAAGTCTTTTAAATGAATGAAATTTTATACCATTTCCTCTTCCAAGAAAGGTTTGTGGTAGCTGAATCATGGAAAGGATCTGCTCCTCTTCCTTGTTTTCAGCTGGGCGGAGATCTCTTCGTTGTTGTTTTTATTGCTCAGATTGGTCCAGGAATTGTTTGTCCTCCCCATTCAAATGAGATCCTGTTTAAAACAGGAAAGGAGAAATGGGTTGAACCGTGTTGTGTGGTAGCGATTTCCCCAGATATCAGGCCATTGTTTAGCAGCAGTGCATCTTTGACCCACCCTGTTTGTGAACTCATCCGTGGCAAATGTGCCTTTAATTAAAGCAGCAAAATAATCTGAGGTTCAGGATTCGTTAACCAACAAAACAAAACAAAACACCACCACAACTTTCCTCTCCTTTTAAAGCCAATTTCCTAGGTCATGTTTTTCTCTACTACGTCACTGGGGTGTCCTTTTATTCCCATAGAATAATTTTAAAACCTTGTAGGGCGCTTGGGAAGTGGGAGAATCTATTCTCAAATTGGGCTGTGATTATGCCCGTTAGCATATTTACATTTCTGCTTAAGAGCCTGGTGGGGGGATCAAGGGAATTAAGGGCACTTGTCATTGAAATGCAGAGGAAATCTTGCATGAAATTACCGTTAGTGCCCTATTGTTGGAGAGGGCTTCCAGCCGTCCACACCACACCCTCGAGCAGTTTGGTTGTATTTTGCACAGTGAAGTGTGAAGTTAGAGGCAGGAGTAGTGCGACTGAAGTTAAAATAGGGAACCATTAGTTTGGCTTGGTGATAGCATTCGTCTGAGGCTAAGAACTCAAGGGATCCGGATCTAGAGTTAGTCCTGTCTTCACCTCTTAATGAAACTGGAGGTGTTGCCTGTCCTCCCATTCATGACTCAATAATGGATAAATACTCAAAGCTTCTCTTCAAGGTCAGTTTTGTTCTCTTCCTTTCTTCCCCTCTTCCCTCCTGCCCCCACCCCATCCGCCCTGCCTCTTAGTAAAGGTGGATGGGGTGGGGGAGGATATGTGAAATACATTGAGTTGTACAGTTGCTAAAAGAGAAGAATACTTTCCGAAGAACCAGTGCACTTTTCTGAAATGTATACCTGGCAACCATTTCCCAAAGGGTTGTAGCAGTTTCTTTTTCTTGA